AATGGTGAAAGTCCTGGCAGGATCTTAGCATACTATCTGAAGCAAAAAATGGAAAAACTGCACAGCTGTTAAAGACAAAAACAATAAGATATATAGCTCCCTTAAAGACATAATTTTTCCATTTTTAAAATTTTACTCAGATTTATATAGTAAATCTGGGAACTTATTTGAGGAAAATATAGAGGCTTTTAAAGCTGAACATGATCACCCACAATTAGATTCCTCACAACATTGATTATTATTTGTTCCTGTTATGTTGAAATCAAAAAAGTGATTTTGAATATGAGTAATGGTAAAACACCAGTACTGGAGGGCTTTCCTATGGAATAGTATAAAACATTTATTGATATTCTTACTTCTAAACTCTATCAAGGATATAATGAGATCTTTCAGAATGTATTATGCTCTTCATTTAATGAAGCATATACTCAGTTAAATTAAAATCTAATAAATATATTACTTTATGTACTATTGTCCTGTTTCACTGATCAATGTAGATATTAATATTTTAACTGATGTTTTAGCTAATAGATTTCAATAAGTCGCTCTTCAATGAGTAACAGTGATCAAGTGGAGTTATCAAAATTAGATACAGATCACATAAAATTTGCTGGTAGTAAATTTAACTGATTCTATAGCTTGTGCTATTAGACAAGATTATAATATTTTTGCATAACTCATTACAATACAAATTTGAATTATATGCTGAAGTTTTATTGTTTCTCTCCAAACACATACTTTGATTCCTGTTTTGATGTATCTGATTAATACTTTTGGCCAAACTGGGGATATTCTGCTTCCTGGTCCTAGTCAGTATTTATGCCTATAGGTAAAGACTTATTCATACCTTAAGTGATTATCATGTTAGCACATGTACTGAATTTATCAGTTATTTAGCTATTCCAAGCAATATTTCTTAAATAGTTACATTGAAAATGAATAAGATCTATAAAGTGGTTCCTCTGAGCATTGTTAAATGGGAGTCATTAAACCTTACTCTCTAGGGTAGGGTGAACACTTAAAATGAATACAATTCCCAGGACAGTTGATATTTTATGTGGGATTCTATATACATGTCCAGAAAATATTTTCAAAAATTCAGTACACTGTTTTGTAAATTTCTATGGAGTTCTTCAATTTGGCTAATATTATATTTTGGAAGTCTTCACTTAGTGATTGCTTCCCTTTACTTTTGAGCATGGACTTCCCCTTCAAATTAGCACAACCCATAGATAGATTTTATTTCCACCTGTCGAAATAGATACAATCCTTACACATAAAGTGAAATGGAAAATGGGTACCTTCTTCTCTGACATTCTCTGGAATGAAAAAATCACACACTGATTGTACTAAGACAGGCCATCAGTTATTTGAAAACTATTACATGCTCATTCAGAATATTCAGAATCATGATACGAAGCAGATGGGAAAGTTTCAATTAAGACAAAAGCACAGATCAAAAGAATGGCTTGACTGGGAAAGTGTGGCTGATAAAAGAGCTCTAACCAGTGCCTATAAATTCTATCAATGAGCCCCTGCACAAGTATAATTATCTCAACCACTGGAACTAAAAAAGCAATATAAATCACTTTTATATTGGCCACAATTGTTCCAAACTTTAAAAAAGGTCACAGAATTTACTGAACTAAAATAGCTAACCTTAGCCTCTTTTTTGTGCATACAGATAGTCCTTGGGTTACAAAGGCAATTGGGACTGGGATTGCCATCACTGATGCAATTGTAACATGCAATGTCATGTGACCGCTTCACTTAGCGATGGCAATCCTGGCAGTCCCGGTCGCCATCATAACCCCAAGATATGCGGGTTGTTAAATGGAAAGTGATGGGAGTCCCAGGTAAGGAGTGCTAGCGTGCCACAAGGGTGATGCAGGTGGGCGTGGGAGGCCTTGGGAGGGTCGGCAAAGGCCATGCATGAGCTGGGGGAGGCCCTGGGAGGCCCAGTGCACATCACGTGCAAGTGTAGGAAGACCAGGGGGTGGATGGTGTGGTGTTAAGGCTGTGGGGGTGAACGGCGCAACCGCAGGGAGGCCATGGGGGTGGATGGCATGGTGGGGCATGAGTGCAGGGAGGCCGGAGATGGGGGATGGCATGGAACAAGTACAGGGAGGCTGGGGGGTGGTTAATGGCATGGTACAAGCGCAGCAAGGCTTGGGGAGTGGATGGCGTGGCAGGGTGCAAGCACAGGGAGGCCGGGGGGACTTAGCATTGACTTTGCTTGTGGGAAGCTGGCAGGGAAGACTGCAAATAGTGATCATGTGACTGTGGGATGCTGCAACTGTTGTAAGCGCAAGCTGGTTGCCAGGCATCCAGATCGCGATTACATGATCTCAGAGGTGCTGCAACAGCTGGAACTTCGAGCACCAGTCGTAAGTACCACTTGTTCAGCACGGTTGCAGCTTTGAACAGTTGCTGAATGAATGGTCGGTAAGCAAGCACTACCTGTATGTTATTTTACTGCATCTTTAATTTACTAATTTTATTACGTTTGTAAGGTTCCGTTCACTCATTTACGTACACTGAAGATGTATGGAGAATATATTTAATCCTTGATTCCCGATCTGTACAATTTGTTTCTGGCATTACCTTTCAGCTGAAGTAGACAGGCTGCAGGAAGCAACTCCTGAACATTTTCTACTGTTACATGAACAGTCTCTGTATATACAAAATCCAGCAATATTTCCATAGTTGAGGCTGTTAGCCCTTGGATATCCACATAGGGTTTATCTTTCTCTGAAAGCTGCAAGTTACAAGTAAAGCTATGTTTAATTTCTGAGATTTATATTAATGATCTTTACTGGGTTACAAAAACTAATTTGGAAAACAAGTACGGATAAGGTGGAACAAATAAGTACTTGTATATGATATAAAAATAATCCTTATAAATGGATGCTTGAAAGGCTACAACAAAGACGTAAATGTCTTACTGCTTTTTCTAAGGAGCTTAAGATATTTCATTCACTATGCCAATTAAGATGCACTTCTGTTTTATATATAAACTACACCATTTTTTTATTTTGTTAAAAAAAATAAGTTACTGTTATAGTTTTGTTAAAAATAAGTCTACAAAAAACATTTATTGTTATTAATACCTGTATTAACAATTTACGGCCTAAAGAAGCAACATTCCAAGTTTTTTCCCAGGTCACTTTGGTAAAAATAATTTTTAATTTTTAATATTTTATTAAATTTATTAAATATTTAATATTTAATAATATTTTATATTGTAATATTTAAAGTAGTATTTGGCAAAAGTAATCAACTAACAACCCTACAAGCATGAATTTGCAACAAATAAAAATTTTAAGAATTGTAATGAATGGTAATAATAACTTTTCCTCTCCCTATAATTTAATTATATGTATTTGGTGATATTTCAGCTTGTATAAAGGCTAATATGAAGTTTAAAATTAACCCTGGTGCGCAACTGATTTTACACAGGGGCCCTTTTGTCTGAGCAAAGATTGGAAGGCTAGTAGCATAGGTTTTGCTTAGTGATATATCTTATACAGGGACATTCCTGGAGAACTAAATTATACATAGCATTGAAACATACATTTTGCTTCTTTTCAGCAAGTAATTTAATTTTCATTCATTTCAATCTTTTTTAATGGTGCATAAACAAAGCTTTTCTCTAGAGGTCTTATATGTTCACAATTCATAACCATAATATAACAGGAATGCTCTTTAAAATTATTTGCTTATAGATTTCAAATACATGTTAGAATTGTGATTACCAAAGCATCACAAAAGTGTGTAAGGTAAGGATCCTCTGATTCAAATGAAGCAGTTAGTATTGCCATAAGAGATCAAATAAATAGTCACATATCATTTGACTATATATAATAAGTTATACTGTACATGCAAAAAATGCAAAAGAGGGGAAATGGTGTGCAAAAACAAGACATAGCCAAACTTCAGTGAAACATTCAAATATTTGAAAAAAAGACCCAATTCTCTGTCACCATATAAGAAAAAGGACACTAAAGAATCACACCCTGTATAAGATATATCACTGAGCAAAACCCATGCTACTGGCCTTCCAATCTTTGCTTGGACAAAAGGGCCCCTGTGTAAAATTAGTTGCACACCAGGTTTAATTTTAAACTTCATATTAGCCTTTATACAAGCTGAAATATCACCATATATATAATTAAATTATAGGGAAACATTATTACCCATTCATTACATTTTTGCTGTGTTGTCAACTGCTATGACTATTACATGATAACAATTTAAAGTTACTAGGCAACATCCAACTTTAGAAAAACATGACTAAGATTTCTTTTTTTTCCCCAATATTTGAATTATATATCTTCACTACTGAGTGGTTTTAATCTCTGTATAAGAATACACACACAGAGTCCACACATATATACATTTATTTAAAAGCAAGTCCCATTGCCTTACTTCCAAATTATACATAGAATTGCAGCTGTACAATACAATTCTATGCATGTGGACTCAGAAGTAAATCTCAATGAATGCAATAAGCCCTATTTCCAGGAAGGTTTATATTGGATGACAGTGATTTTTTTTAACTGTTAGGTCTGTAGTACAAGCAATTATGTTACTTGCATGAAAAAAATGCCCAAATATGTTTGATGTGTATCTTGCCTACCTCACTCGTGAACATAGCACAGAAGTAGTCACTGCAAGCAGCTAATACAATACGATGTGCTGGAAAGTCTTTTTGCTCCACACGCAGGGTCACATCACATAGTGTGTTACTTTTTCGCAAAGAGTTCATTGCATTAAGAATGGATTTGGCATGAGAATTTGTCATTATATCTTTAGGAGCCATAGTCTTAGTCCAGCCAACAAGAATGCTGAGAAGGCAGGTTCAGAGTATGAGTAATCTGTGAAGAAAAGAATCTGTTTCACTGATAGCACCTATGAACACAAGGCTAATTTAGACAAGGCAAAAATTCTAGAAGATGAGGAACTTAGTCGACAATTCTCACTCCTCTACTCTTAACATGTGAACCACCTTGCTATATCTCTGCTTCAGGCAAGCTTACAAACTGTTTAACTCATCTGCATTCCAGTTATCAGCTCAATGGAACTGAGCAAATATTTATGTAATTTATATAGCTGCCCATCTCACACAAGCGACTCTAGGCGGCTTACAAAATTAAAAACAACACCCCCCCAAACATAACCCCTTGGTGCCTAAGGATAAACAAATAACTATTAAACAAATGTCACAGGGGCAGTTTATATTAGAATGTTTACATATTTTAACATTAAACAATCTCAAAATATAAATATACTTTACTATCTAATACGTACATTGTAGAACAAAACAATACTGTACAACAAAGGTTCAGAGACATGGAATAATGTTAGTCTAGAATAAAAAGTCTAGCTTAAGTCATTCAGAGTCTTTGTATTTTATTCATATTCATAGGTTACAATATTACAGGTAGTTCCCAGGTTCAGAATGCCTGGTTTACAGACAACCCATAGTTAAGAACGGAGCCTATTGTAGCAAAATTTGAGTTAAATACACGATTGTTAGTCTAGAATAAAAAGTCTAGCTTAAGTCATTCAGAGTCTTTGTATTTTATTCATATTCATAGGTTACAATATTACAGGTAGTTCCCAGGTTCAGAATGCCTGGTTTACAGACAACCCATAGTTAAGAACGGAGCCTATTGTAGCAAAATTTGAGTTAAATACACGATTCAAATTAAATACACAATGGTTTGAGTTAATTACGCAATTCTACTTATATAGTATTATACAATAATACTGTTCGGGCTTACATACAAATTCAATTTAAGGATCGACCTTGGGAATGGAAGTCGTTCTTAAACTGGGGACTACCTGTACTTGGATTTTGTCCAAATCCCAGGACAGAAAACTACATTAGGAAGTAACAAAAAATGAGGGCATTAGCAAACCATTCCATATTGTTGCCAAGGAAACTATATGGAAATGTCCATCAAGAATAAAGCCAAACTTAAAAGCAACTTTACCTTTTTTAGGGTGGGAGGCTACAAGCTACTTAATAAGGTGCTATGCATGTGTACTGAGTTTGATCTGTTTTACTCCAAAGAAAATGTGTGTATTTTGTACAATTCAGACTTGGCACTCTATTTTTCATTTTGAAGATTACAACCTTCAACATACAACGCTTATCAGCATTTCAGCAAATATGCCTTGCCGTAGCATAAGCTTTACTTGATGCTTTGGAAATGAAAAACGAGGCCACATCTGCATTACAAATGCAAACTTTTCGGGCCACTATTCCAACGTAAAAGGAAGGAGGAAATTCATTCATAATTGAAGCCTCCAACTGAGCTCCTTTACGAGAGAATTCCTGGGGGATTCCTGATCGGGTGCAAATATAAAGACCCAAACTCATGCAAGGATACTTCTGTCCTAGCCCAACCATCTATGTCAACGAACAGATTTAGCCACCAGTGCATGTAATTCTGCCAATACAGATATCACCAGCCAACGGGAAAACAATACCTTTATTCTTCAACCTAATACACCGCTATACAGTAGTAGATTCATATAACTGCGGAGCGGGAAGAACGACTTCCGACTTCCCCAAAACCCTAATTAGCTCCAGTTCTTGTAGAAAGAGAACGGCAACCCAAGGCAGAGAGGGTTCACCTACTCCGTTTCTTATGGCTTTACCTATCTGCAGACCCCTGCCGGATACCAGCGACCTCTTTAAGCCATGCAGTGAAAGAAGGGTCCGTTTTCTACTGAGCCGCGCAAGGAAAAGAACCGCCGCTGGAGCATCTCTCCCCTACTCAAATTCACCACCGTAACATTTCTATGAGGGGAGAAACTCCCACTTCCTCAGGCCCACACGTCTCCTTCCTCTTTCACGCTAGACGCGTGCCGATTGCGTCACCATTCGCGCCGAGCCATAGGCAAAAAAAGCTTGGTTTCTATTTGAACCCACGTGCAGAACGTTGCGACCCGAGAGAGGGAGAGACAGAGGAGTTCGCCGGGATGGAATGTGCTTGGCCTTGGTTGCCAAGCAATGAAACGGCTTGCAGTGTCGTTCCCCCACCCCACGCAGTTCATATTGACGGCGGGAAGGTGGCCGCTCTTTCTTCCTCGGTTTTAAATATTTTGCTTTGCCTTGTCACCCTGCTTGAATAGCTCCGGGGGATACCGCAAAGGCGCGCTGAACAGATAATTGAAATGCCGATTTTTTTGCAGGGGGATGCCTTCGAGTCAGTTTTAACTCCTGGTCACTACCTGCACTAGTAAAAAACAGTATTTAAGGGTTATAACATTTTGACATACAGACATAGCCATCACATTACTATTCCATTTTGGGGTAAACATTGGGAAGTGCAGAAAAACAAAATCCATTGAACGTGGATGATAACAGAAAAGGAAATCCAAGGATACAAACAGACATCCCTGGTAAAATTTTGTCCAGGCTGTAAGCTGGCAGAAAAGTGTGTAAGTGCACTTTGTGCTGGCACCCTTGCAGATCCCTCTTCTGTGATAAAGCTGGCTCGTGATGCTTCCTTGCTGTTTTAATGCTGCACAAGTTAAAGCAATTGGTGGAATCCTATGGCTTTGCTTCCCTTTCACTGAGGATTACCTGTGGGGCATCAGCTGCTGGCTGGAAAAGCACTAACTGCTTTCCTCAGGTGCATGGAATGGTGGGTCACAGGTGTGGGAAGAAACAGGAGTTCCACTTAATCGTTGCCTATCCTCTGTTCCTGCAACCTATCTCTTGGGCTAGGTTTGGACATAGCTTTAGTGCTCAAAGAGGCAGAGGAGCATGAAGGAGGGATAATGAGAAGCATTGTCTGTCCATCCCACACCATCCTCTGTGCTTGTGATCTATCAGTTGGGCTAATAGTAGCAACTGGGCTCAGGAATTTTTAGCAAGAAAATATTGTGTGTGGAGGAATGGGTTAAACACATCCCCATCCATCAAGATTTCCCACTGGATAGGAATCTCTTGTGTTGCTTCTTCTAAGAAAAATACATGCTCAATTCCATGCTTGCTTTAGTTGGCCCTAGGAGGTTGAAGTGTTCTCTCTGTATAAGCACTGTCCTTGCTGGTGAACACAAGTTTTATAGCAGAAGATTGATTTACAGAAAATACAGAGATAGCCAAAACCTAGCATCTAGTTAAGTACTTTCTATCAGGAAAAGAGTAAGAAAGAATGTCATTAGTTAAGAGGCTTTACTTATCTCTCTAATATATTTTCTGTAAGTGTTAATCTTAGCTCTGTTTTTTCACTGTGCTCCTTCGCTTTCATTGCCTGAGCTTCCAGATCATTTACATGTTCATCTATTACAGTAGTATCATGAACATAGTGGAGATTATTTATATTTTTCTTCCAATTTTAAAACTACATTCGTCTTCTTCCAATACAACCTCCCTCAATATATATTCATAAGTCTATGAGAATGGAATCTATAAACAGAATCATATGTTAGTTACTGAAAATATTTAGTTCTGAGGTAGGAAATGTCAGTCCTATCAAATCTAGAATTGCCTGTGATAATACCATTGCTAGCTCAGTTCTTCCAGCAAATCTACTACTTCTGTTGCTCTGTATAAGCAGTACACTTTTAAACTGAGGGTTTGGTTTGGTTTGGTTTGGTTAGGTCTAATAAAACTGGTACAGTGTTTGGAATGTCTTTCCCAGCAGATGGCAGAATTGTGTCTTGACTAATGTTTGGATGTCTTGACTGGGAGAGACACTTGCAGAGAATTCAAGAAAAGCAACACCAGTGAGATCTAACACAACCCTTTTGTCTGACATGAAAAGGGGAAGAACAAATTAATAATAATTCAATTGGATTCCCTTTATCTTTCAGAACATTTATCCAGAACATTTTCATCTGTGAAACCTCTACATAAGCAAGTATTATTAATGTTAAAGGGCTAAATGGTTGCAAGTTCTTTAAATATAAACAGATGGGTCCTATGAAGGATCTTATCCTTCTAAACTAAATTTCAAATAAATTGTTTTTCTCTAACAAAATATCCAAAACGTTTTGGATTATATTATCTCCTTGCCACCAATAGATCTACAGGTGGGCCATAACTTCTTCAGTTTCTCTCACTTTCCCTTTTTTGCAAAGCTGTCAGATTGAAAGATTGATTCGTGATTTTTTTAAAGTTACTATTAAAATGTGTATTTTGGTGAAAATTTCAGAAAAAGCACAGGCTTTGTAAACAATCTTCCCTAATATAATGTATTATTTTATATTAGCTTTATGTCTAAATGCATATTTATCCAGATTTTCTCTAATATACTTTTTATTATTATTAATAAATTGAATTGTGAAAGAAAGAGAACTATGTATTTTGAATTATAAAAAAGCTTCCAGTCATGGACTCAGGTTTAAAAAAAATATTGAATATTTTTCTTACAAACTTAACATGAGATAACTTAATGACAAATTTCATTTTGGTGTCTACTGGATTTTTCAAAGGATGTTAAAAAGGATTGGTTATCTATCAATCTGTGCTGGAAATGTAGAACATTCAAAGGTATGTTAACACATGTGATTTGGTCATGCCCTCTGGTTATTCCATATTGGCTAGATATCCTCAATACCCAATAAGGTCTTAGTAAGAGAGATTAGATTTAAAGGCATTAAGGTTAAACTGTATCTCCAAAATTTGGAATGTATTATTTATGAAAACATTTGGATCTATCATGCTTGGAGTGGAAATAAAAATATTACATGTTCTTGGGAAGGCAACTGTACAACATAAACCAAAGGTTGGCTTGATGAAATGTGTGCATTGTCAACCTTTGAAATGGTTCTTTGTGGACAAAATGGAAATATTACTTTTAAACATAGACAATTTTTGGTGCTTTTTTTTTTTGCTTTGCCTACTTTGTTTTGTTTGTTGTCGTACTGAAGTGATCCTTTTTTTGTATGAAAATGAATTTGTTGAATCAGTTTAGAATTGACCATAGTGCTATTAAATATAATTTAAATTTAAATCAACATTTCCTAAGATGTTCAGAGATCCAAAGAGGACATTTGAAGAGAGACAATCATGAGATAAAATGAAGTTTTTTCGGATTCACAATGAAAGAAGTTCGGTTAAAATATATACAGTAAATATATAATGAAAATGAGAAGAAAAACTTACCAAGTAAACCAGCATGGTTAAAAAGAAGAGTGTTAAAGAAGTTGGTAGAGGCAAGAAGACATCTTTCAGTTTCAACTTGCTTATAAATGGGGGGATTAGTCTAATTTCATTTTTTTCATATGCACTCATTCTTAAACCATTCCTGTTCTATCTTTGTTTTAGTCTACATACTTTCCTCTTTAAAAGCTGCACTAAAATTACCATTTAAAAATATTGCATATAGCAATATTTTTACATGATGGTCTGAAGGCTGCATTATACATTTTATTTTATAGTTAATAGAAACTCTAAGACTCTAAAAAGCCTGGTTGTCATTGCAACTATAATACCTGTTAAAAATGAAGCCACAAATGGAACATCATATAGAAAAAAAAACAATGGCTGTTTCCTTTTACGTATTTGTTTAGCCACTAAAGTAACAGTAAGCCACCAATCTGTTTTTCAGATCAGGAGAGCATTACAAAGCATAGAAAATCAAAAACCACCATACGTCTCCCTCCACGTGACAGAAACATATAAGATACATGCAGACATGCAGAAACATATGTAACACATGCACAATAAGCAACTGAACATTACATTAATTTTCTTTGTTAAATATAAATTATAACAATGTTCCATGCAATTAAAATCTAATAACAAATCTAACTGTCAGCCTTACATATTTTCACTTAAATCAAATAAATCATGTTGATTTTAGTGGGACTTACTCTCAGATACAGTAAATGGAAATAAGATTATCACTGTACTTCTACTCAGAAGTAAGTCCCAGTGAGTTAAATGAATTTTACTTCCAAATTATATATATAGGATTGCAATCAAAATCTTATTTATCATATGTTTTTCATGTTTTTTTTCCCTGAAGAAAAACATAATTTCAAGTTTTGTTATCATAATGTATTATGGGCAGTTGATTCCAACTTGAAATATATTGACATTATTCATCTGGTTTCCTGGATCAGCTCGATTTATTTATTTTACTTTTTGTTTTGGAGTTGCCCAAAGACCTTTTTTCCTCCATGTGGTTTGAGTTACATTGCAGAATATAGAGCACAGAACACTATGACCCTGACCGTAAGGTAATGATACAGCCAACTGATCAAGTGATGGCAGGATTCCTTAAACCTCACGAGCCAGCTTGGATTCAGAGCAATTGTGAAAAATCTCAAAATCTGAAAAAGCCAAGGTAGTTAAGAATATTTAGATTGAATATATAATCATAAGGTACGGGTAGTCTTTGCTTAATGACCATTTATTCAGCAACTCAAGTTATGACTCCACCACCACCTACCCTTGCTGCCCCCAGCTGACATTCACCATATACTTCCTCCCGCTGCTGACAAGATGTGCCTGGCCGAGGCAGCTGCTGGTCCTTCACGAGGCTATAAGAGGCCTCCATGCAGCCTCCATGATGGGGCCAGTGGGGGGCGGCAGGGGTAGGCAACGGCAGAGTGCAGGGCAGCTAAAAAGGGCAGAAATGGGATATAGGTAGGTAGGTGGGTGGGGGGAACTGAAGCAGAGGCAAGCGTGGCAGGGCAGAAGAAGCATGAGATCCTCACCCAACAATGGCATGGTCCTTGCCTAACAACCGCAACCGGGACTACCAGAACTGCTGTCACTAAGTGGTGCAGTCACGTGATGTTTTGCCTAACAACTGCTTCATTTAGTGATGGAAATTCCAGTCCCAGTTAGGGTCAGTAAGCAAGGACTGTAGCCTAGTT